CCCCCCCCCCCCCCTCCTCTCCCATGGGCTTCACCTAAATCGAAAGGGACGCATACAATACTTTTACCCATTTCCGTGAAAAAGGAAACCACAGCTGCTCGAGCCGGTTTACGTCATGACTCACATAATTCCCTGAATTTGAATATATATGTAGTTTTAGTATATACCCACTCAATGATCTTGGTGTTTCAAGCGGCAGAACATTCACAACCTTTCTTATTATTTCATTTATGCTTACAGTCAATTTTCCCATGGACCTGGAACACAACACATGAGCTTGTCAACTGAACGTTAGAAGTGTCAGTTCGACATTGTATTGCAACTCTAACGAGACGGCCAGCAGTTACGTTCTGGAATAGTGTTGTACCACCTTTGATCTGAAAGAAAAATTATACAACAAGGTTAGCCAGTTATTCCTTTGTGACTAATAAGTCCCTTTTTAGCAATGAATCACTATCACGAAAATTGATGAAGTACACTGATTTTGAAATTGAAAGGAAATACCCTATTTCTTCTCACTTACAGATGGTGAAAAGGACCTAAATGCAAAAACGTATTACTTTATATATTGTCTATACTTATGGCTTATATTTTGGGGCAGTTCTGGACATTTTCATCATCTGGTCCCATTGCGCTGTGGGACGCATAAGGCCTTCACCAGCAGGAAGTATCTTGAGCCACCTTCTGGATTTCGCCCCAGATCAGGTGCATGTACCTTCTCCAGGTTGTTTTAGGCCTCCCCCGTTGTCTTTTCTCCTCTGGTGTCCAAAACAAACCTCCTCTTGCAACGTCGCTGGGGTTTTTCTTAACACATGGCCCTTCTGTAACAAAATGCTGAAATTTATCCCCAGATAAGACTAAAAGATAGATGCGATTTTCGCGCACTCCCTAGTTCAGACCTGATCCAAAACGCCGTGACTGCTCCAGCTGGTGACCCTATCTTAAACCAAAATGGTTCAAACAACGTGTGGTCCAATTTTAACTTACTAGACAGTAGACTGGAGTGGATCTCAGTTATAATTATAGCCCACTGCATGTCTCAGCTATCAGCAAAGTTTTATTTAAAAAATGCATCATTTCTCATCAGCTAAAAGTTTTTTGACTAAATCTCTTCTACCAGTAACCCCGTCCAGACAATCACCGTAAGTAACTAACTTACCCTAATCCTCAGCTGACTTGAGGACCAACCGGGTGTCAGCTCTATAGTGTCAAGCAGATTTGGTGATTCTATTGACCTCCAGGAGCCAGTACAATCCAGATATTGTACATAGAATCGATTTCCATAATAGAAGGTGCACCTCTGGTTGGCAGGCACGTCTACAGTTTGTTCCCGAACAGAACCAGATGGAAAAAACACCAAACTTTGGTCCACTGACTCGCCTGTGAAGAGCATCTGGCAGCCTGAAAAAAAACATGAAAAAAATTAGACTACTCGCCCTAGTTTTCTATGAGCGAATAGTCAACGAGGCATAGCCGAGTTCACTTTCGCTCATAGAAAACGAGGGCAAGTAATTTACATGCAATTGTTTTAGTAGTCACTCTGAAGGATTACAGCACAGGACCTAGAATTCTTTGGTATTTTAAAGACTTGAGAGTAATTTTCAGTTTCAAGAGCAACGCGAGCGATCGTGGTCTATACGGGAATAGAAAACGATGAGAGAAGCAATCAGATTCTCGCATTTCCAATCGAACACAACTGAAGTAGCTAATATATTGATGGAAAGTTCTATTCCGTAAAAACACGCTTCTGAGTGTGAACGAAACAAAAGAACACGGTTGAAAAAAAGAGCACGTTCAAAACGCTGATGCAGCTCGTAATTAAACCTCGTTCCCAGGATTTCTCAGCCCTGGGAACGAGATTGTGTCATGAACACTGGAAAAGTTGAAAATTTACAGAGTATGTAAATAACATGTAATTAACATGTAAATAACCAAAAA